TGCAGGTGCTGTTGTTGCTGCTGCTTCCGCTCCCGCTCCCGCAGCTGCAGTCATGCTGCTGCCGCGCGATCCCCCCCTCCTTCCCCATTCCCTTCCTTCCCGTTCCCAACATATCTGAAGTCCATGCCTCTGTCCTTCTCTCTCTCTCTTTATGCCTCTTGCTGTTGCTCTTTGCTTTGGCTTGTTCTCTCTCTCTCTCTCTTTCTCTCGCTGTTTTCCTCATTTCGAGATCTCTCTCTTCTCTCTATCTCTCTCTTTCTCTCTCTCTCTCTCTCTCTCTCTCTCCTCTCTCTCTCTCTTTCTTTTGCTCTCTCTCTCTCTATCCTTTTTGCTCCCTCCTTCACGCCGCGAGGACATGGGGGTTCACCGTTCCTTGGAGACTGGGGGGAGGGCTCTCGATGGTGAAGGCAGTGATCGCATGGAGCGCACCTGCAGGCGAAGGCCTGACGGGACTGAGGGGCAGAGGAGCCCAGACGGGCGTTTCGTCGTTGATGTGTTGTTGGTCCCGTGCTGTTTATCAAGCGGTCGGCCCCTGGGGGCCCCTGCCAGCCTCCCAGGCCCGTCAAGGAGTGTGCCAGGATGAGTGTCCTCCTCCTCCGCGTCCTTCCCTGCGTTTCTTCGCTGCGCATCGTGGTGACAGGCTGAAGGGGGTTCGGTTTCTTGTTCCGCAAGGGGAGAAACAACGTGCCAGGACGAGAAGCATGCCCCTGGGGAAGGTGTCCACATCTCCAGGTGTCGACGCCTTGCGGGGCAAAACACGACGTCGTGGCCTGAGGAGGGAGAGGAGCGCAGGGGGGAGGTGAGAGAAGCGGATCAGGGCACGATCCTCCGACGATGCCAGCTGCACAGCTTTCAAAGTTGGACGACTTCATTCGGCGGCGAAATCCGAATCCTGCCTTCGCCGATCAGCGGTTCACGCAGCACGATGGGCGGTGGGGGTGGGGTCCAGAATTCGCCGAACACGTGGCTGAAGCCGAACCCTGACCCCCGCCTCCCACCGATTTAGGAGAAGTGATGGTGGGGGTCGGGCTCTGATGTCGCTCTACCGAAGGTGCCAGCGGCAGGGTCCGCACGCGCCCCCCCGCCCACTTCGGCACACCGTTCACGAGGATCGTGGCCCCATAGGGAGCTCCACCGAAGGCCCCAGCGGCAGGGCCCGCATGCGTCCCTCCGCCCATTTCGGCACACCCCTCACACGGTTCGTGGCCCACTGGGGAGCTCCACCGAAGGCACCAGTGGCAGGGTCCGCATGCGTCCCCCCGCCCACTTTGGCATACCCCTCACGAGGATCGTGGCCCCATAGGGAGCTCCACCGAAGGCCCCAGTTGCAGGGTCCGCATGCGTCCCCCCGCCCATCTTGGCACACCCCACGCACGGTGTGGGGAGGCTCGACGTGCGAGGTGCAACTGCAGCCGCCCTGGCGAGTCCCGTCAATAAGGACAGCTGCGCGAATTAGGAAAGTATCGGCTCCACCTGCAAAGCGCCGGAGCCTATGGGGTCCGCAGATCATGTTACGAATCCGAACGGGTCATCCTAATACCTGCAACTGTCGTGATTTTTGTTCCCCTCAGGCTTGATTATGGGGGAAGTATCAGGCGGGAGCCTCGTCTGTGAGTGAATTGCGAGGAAGTCCTTGTAACTCGCCTCACTTTCGGGCCGATGAGGTTTGAATATTGGGGACGTATGAGGCGGGAGCCTCTCCTGTGAGTGAATTGCGGGTCGCCTCGTCCGAGCTGGTCGCCGGAATATTTGTTATTATCATGGGCCCGCGTGCCCGAAAGGGCGACTCAGGAGCTGACGACGACGACGACGAGACAGCGGCCGGACGCAGCGGTAACCTCTTGTGTCCGGGCCGGGGGTGGTAACCCATCCTCGGCCGGATCGGGGGCAGGGGTAACCCCTTGTCTCCCGGCCGCCGGTGTTAACCCATCGGCGGCCGAATCGGGCGCAGGGGTAGCCCCTTGCGTCCGGGTTGGGGGTGGTAACCCATCCTCGGCTGAATCGGGGGCAGGGGTAAGGAAGCCCAGAAAAAGCTGGAAAACCAGAAAGAATGCCCACGCAACGGAAACAGGGAGAGAGGGACGAGAGACAGAGAGAGAGAGAGAGAGATGAGACGGGAAGAAAATGGAGACAAAGTGGTGGCGCAGGGGGCTCACCTTGTTTCAGGGCTGGCAGGCTTGCGCGCGACAGGGGCAGAAAGAGAAAGAGAGAGAGAGAGAGAGAGCGAGAGAGAGAGAGAGATTGAGAGAAGGATGAAGGCGGGAAGAAAAAGGAGACAAAGTGGCGGCGCAGGGGGCTCGCGCCATTTCAGGCCAGGCAGGCAAACGCGCGACGAAAACAGAAAGAGAGAGAGAGAGAGAGGGAGAGGATACTGAGCAGGGAAGAACATGGAGACAAAACCGCCGCGCACGGGGCTGGGGCCACCGCGGGCTAGGTGTTTAGGACGGCAGCACGCTGCGGAAACAGGGAGAGAGGAGAATGAGACGGGAAAAAATTGAGACAAAACGGCGCACGGGGATCAGGCCAACGCAAGAGGCCAGGAATGCCCACGCAACGGAAAGGAATGAGTTGGAAAGGCAATGTATACAAAACGGCCGCGCACGGGGCTCAGGCTAAAGCAAGAAAACAAGAATGCAACGCGCAACGGGAACAGGAAGAGAGAGAGGATAATAAGCTGGGACGAGCATGGCGACAAAGCGGCCGCGCAAGGAACTCAGGCCAAATCAGGAAAATTAGCTTGGCGAGAGACCCAACCATATGCAGTTGTGAGTACCGCAATTGTGAATATCTTCTTCGGTGGCGCTCCCTAGGGGGCCACGAAACGCTGTACTGGGTGGGTGAAACGCAGGGAGCAAGGGCCGTGCTGGGTGGTGGCGGACGCATGCGGGCGGTGCCACTTGGACCTTCCGTGGAGCTCCCTATGGGGCCACGAAGCGCTGTATTGGGTGGGTGGGGCGCAGGGAGCAAGGGCTGTGCTGGGTGGTGGCGGACGCGTGAGGGCGGTGCCACCGGGACCTTCGGTGGAGCCCCTTATGGGGCCACGAAACGTTGTACTGGGTGGGTGAAACGCAGGGAGCAAGGGCTGTGCTGGGTGGTGGCGGACGCATGCGGGCGGTGCCACGCCACGAAACGCTGTACTGGGTGGGTGAAACGCAGGGAGCCAGGGTCGTGTTGGGTGGTGGCGGACGCATGCGAGCTGTCCCACTGGGACCTTCGGTGGAGTCCCCTTATGGGGCCACGAAGCGCTGTACTGGGTGGGTGAAACGAAGGGAGCAACGGCTGTACTGGGTGGTGGCGGACGCATGCGGGCGGTGCCATTGGGACCTTCGTTGGAGCTCACTATGGGGCCACGAAGCGTTGTACTGGGGGGGTGAAACGCAGGGAGCAAGGGCTGTGCTGGTTGGTGGCGGACGCATGCGGGCGGTGCCACCGAGACCTTCGGTGGAGTTCCCTATGGGGCCACGAAGCGCTGTACTGGGTGGGTGAAACGCAGAGCAAGGGCCGTGTTGGGTGGTGGCGGACGCATGCGGGCGGTGCCACTGGGACCTTCGGTGGAGCCCCCTCTGGAGCCACGAAACGTTGTACTGTGTGGGTGAAACGCAGGGAGCAAGGTCCGTGTTGGGTGGTGGCGGGCGCATGCGGGCGGTGCCACTGGGACCTCCCATGGAGCCCTTTATGGGGCCACGAAACGCTGTACTGGGTGGGTGAAGCGCAAGGAGCAAGAGCTGTGCTGGGTGGTGCGGACGCATGCGGGCGGTCCCATTGGGGGCTTCGGTGGAGCTCTTTATGGGGCCACGAAACGCTGTGCTGGGTGGATGAAGAAACGCATGGAGGGGGAGGAGGGGGAGGAGGAGGAGAGGAGGAACGCGGGGACCGTCTCTTCAAAACGAGGACCCAACACCACAGGATGGTTAGGAACAAACGTGCAACACGCAACGGAAACACAGAGAGAGAGAGGAGAGTACGCTGGGAAGAAAATGAAGACCAAACGGCCGCGCACGGGGCTTGGGCCATTGCGGGCGCCCCTCCTCGGTCTCACCTCCTTCGCGGTATTCGCGGCTGCATATGGTTGGGTCCTTCGTCAGGCTAATGTTGGGTTGGTTTTTCCATGAGGGGTCTCCAGAAGTCCCGACCCCTCCGCGGGCTGGTTTTGCGTACCGAGTGTTTTCGACGCTTCCGGAGCCCAGCCAGGGCCCCCAGAGGCCGAAAACGATGAAAATCCTTCGCGTTGACTTTAGTCAAAACGGTGGAGGTCTGGGATTGCGGGGTGCTGCGTATGTGCGCCTCCCACTTAGATCGGCGCAGGGGTTGCTACGGGGATAGGGGGATTATAGGTCGATGCCATGGTGGGTTATGGGTGGATTATGTATGGCCTAGCATGGTTTATACGTGCTTGCAACTGCGATAAGCGGTTTCAGGGTTAACGATCCGGCCTGAGTGGGCTTCGCCCACTGAGCGGAGTTATCGACCCCCCAGGCCGCTTATGGCGCTTGTGCCTCACTCATAGGCTAGGTTCGGACAGGCAAAACTCACCGTAGCATCCACCTATCACACCCCTTATCTCCATACCAACCCCCGCGCTGATCCAAGCACTTCTTTCGGCGGCGATTCCGGGGGGGGGGAGGTGAGAAGTGGCGGGCCTTCTTAGAGGGCTCAGAAGTTCTCCAGCCCCCCGAGAAGTTCACTGAGCCTTCCCCGAAGGCGACGAAAACCTTTCAGAAGGCCGAGGGCTTCTGAGAAGCCCAGCCGCCTTCTGAGGAGGCCTTTTCCTTACCACTTCCTCCCTTCGCTCGCCGCCGATCTTGGGGCCCGGCAGGATCCAGGACCTCACCTGCCTCTCCGCGGCCCACGCCCTAGAAGGCAGTCGGCGTCTTAGAAGCCAGCGGGGCTTGTAATACGCTTTGAGAAGGCCCCTCCGCTTTTTCAGGAGGCCGCCCCCCCATCGCGCCACCCGTTTGTGGGCGCCGCCAGCCCGCGTCGCCCTGAGTCTGAGGGTGTCAATGGTCACGCCGGGGCCCGGCAGGATCCAGGGCCTCACGTGCCTCTCCGCGGCCCACGTTCTCGTCAACGCCGCCGACCTCCCGCGCGCCAGCGGCGGCGGCCGCGCCCGGCGGCGCGCGGCGCTGCGGGATGCGGGACTGCCCCGCCGGCCTGGGGGGAGCCCACATGGCCGCTCCCGTTTCCAGATCGTGGGGGACCCCAGAGGAGGAAAGGATACCCATACCGCCACCCTTCCCGCGTTTCTCTCTGGGCCATCTCGGGCCGTCTCGAGGCCATCTTGTGCCGTCTGGACTCCATCGTGAGCTGTCTTCAGGCCCACCTGGACGTCCCAACAGGCCCAATCTGCTAATATCATAAACGCTACTAGGCTTCTGAGACCCAGAAAGGCTTGGTTGTGGTCGACGGAAGTAGTGCGACTCCTTAGGGTGGGGTGGGTGGGGGGGCAGGGGAGGGGTATAATTATATTGTAAATGTTAGCCAGCGTGGACCCCAAACAGTGTACCTCTACCAATCTATGCCATGTCTATGGTGTGCAAATCATACGGTGCAATCTATGTGGTGCAATTAATTTCTGTTCGCAGTGAGTTGTCCACTCCACTGCTCGCGCAAACATCTCACCCACCCACCCGCAACTTGGTTTGCAAAATCTCTTAAGACCGTGACGGTGGGTACCACATGGCACTTGGCAACAACAGCGACGCCGCCGACGACAGCGACAACGACGATGACGACGCCGCCGACAACGACTACGACGACACCGACGACGTCTCCAACGACTTCGACGACGCCGACAACGACGACGACGACGACACCGACGACGACGACGACGACACCAACGCCGACGACGACGATGACAACGACGACGACGATGACGACGCCGACGACGACGATAACGACGCCGCCGACGACGACGACGACGACGGCGGCGCGACGACGACGCCGACGTCGACGACGACGAACGACAACGACGACGACGCCGACGACGACGAAACGACGACGACGACGACGACACCGACGACGACGACGACGACACCGATGCCGACGACGACGACGATGACAACGACGACGACGATGACGACGCCGACGACGACGATAACGACGACACCGACGACGACGACGACGTCAACGACGCCGCCGACGACGACGACGACGGACGACGGCGGCAACGACACGACGCCGACGTCGACGACGACGAAGACGACAACGACGCCGACGCCGAGACGACGAAGACGACGACGACGTCGCCAACGAAGACAACGAGGAAGGAGGGAGGACGACGACGGCGACAACGACGACAACGACGAGGGAGGAGGGAGGAAGGCGACGACGCGAACGACGAAGAAGGAGGAAGGACGGCGACGCCGACGACGGCAACGACGAGGGAGGAGGGAAGACGACGACGACGACGACAACGACGACGACGACGACGACGGCGACGAAACAGGAGGGACGACGACGAGACGCCGACGACGGACGACGACGACGACGAGGGAGGAGGAGGAAGGACGACCACGGCGACAACGACGACGGAAACGACCACGACGCCAAAGAGGACGACGACGACGAACACGAGGAAAGACAGAGGACGACGTAGGCGACGACGACGACGACAACGACGCGGGAGGAGGGAGGACGGCGACGACGACGACGACGACGCAAGAGCGCGCGCGCACGTTTTTGTTGAACATCCGTGTTGCGAAACCTTGTGTTTTTGTAGGTTTTTTGGACACACGATTTTGAAATCCTTCCGGAACCGATGGGTTTTGAAGGTTTTCGGCGTACGCGCGCGACGACGCGCGCGTCTGCACTTCGTCCCGTTTTCTGCAGGGGATTCTCGCGACGGCACACGCGCAAGGGCGTTCGACAGATTTCGACATGAGCGCGCGCGAAGCCCGTTTGGTAGCATGTTGTGAAAATCTTGAAAAACCAATGGTTTTCTTAAGACTTCGCAAGAGCTTTCGCGGAAGCTTTTTTAGCAACTCTGTGTTGCGAAACCCTTTGTTTTTGTATGTTTTTTGGAAACTCGATTGCGAAATCCTTCCCGCACCGAAGGTTTTTGAAGGATTTCGGCATGCGCGCGCGACGGCGCGCGCGCGTGTGCACTTCGTTTCATTTTTTGCAAGGGATTCGCGAAAAAGTGCTATATTAGAACAAAAAATGTCACCGCATAGTGTTTTTTTACAAGGGAACCTCAGGGGGGGGAAACCGGCTTAGCTGGGATGGTATGATTTCATATTTAGGATGGACGAGTGAGCAAAATATATTTGAAATCGTATTATCCCAGGGGGAACCGGTAAGTCCGGGGGGGGTAGAGTTTATTTTTGTTAGAACGGAGAATTGACTACCCTGCACCGCGCCTGACCACCTCCACTGCTCGCGCAAACATCCCACCCACCCGCCCGCAACTTGGTCGCAAGACTTCTTAAGACAAGACCGTGACGGTAGGTACCACATGGCACTTGGCCACGACACCGACGCCGACGACGACAGCGACAACGACGACGACGGCGCCGCCGACACCGACTACGACGACGCCGCCGACGTCGACGTCGACGAAGACGACGACGACGCCGACGCCGACGACGACGACGACGACGAAAACGACGACGACGTCGCCAACGAAGACGACGACGAGGGAGGAGGGAGGACGACGACGGCGATAACGACGACAACGACGATGGATGAGGGAAAACGGCGACGACACGAACCACGACGAAGGAGGAAGGACGGCGACGCCGACGACGCGCGACGAGGGAGGAGGGAAGACGACGACGACGACAACGACGACGAAGACGACGACGACGGCGACGAAATAGGAGAGACGACGACGAGACGCCGACGACGGACGACGACGACGACGATGGAGGAGGATAACGACGAGGGAGGAGTGAAGACGATGACGACGACAACGACGGCGACGAAATAGGAGGGACAACGACGAAACGCCGATGAAGACGACGAGGGAGAAAGACGACCACGGCGACAACGACGACGGAAGCGACGACGACGCCAAGACGACGACGACGACGACGACGAGGAAAGACAGAAGACGACGACGTCGACGACGACGACGACGAGGGAAGAGGGAGGACGACGACGACGACGACGCAAGAGCGCGCGCGCACGTTTTTGTTGAACATCCGTGTTGCGAACCTTGCGTTTTTGTAGGTTTTTTGGAGGCACGATTGTGAAATCCTTCCGAAATTGATGGGTTTTGAAGGCTTTCGGCATACGCGCGCGACGACGCGCGCGTCTGCACTTCGTTTTTTTTTTGCAAAGGATTCTCGCCACGGCACACGCGCAAGGGCGTTCGACAGATTTCGACATGCGCGCGCGCGACGCCCGCTTAATAGCATGTTGTGAAAATATTGAAGAACCTCTTGGCTTTCTTAAGATTTCGCGAGAGCTCGCGCGGAAGCTGTTTTACCAAATCAGTGTTGCGAAACCCTGTGCTTTTGGATGTTTTTTTGGGGGAGCTCGATTGCGAAATCCTTCCGGCACCGAAGGTTTTTGAAGGATTTCGGCATGCGCGCGCGACGGCGCGCGCGTGTGCACTTCGTCTCATTTGTTGCAAGGGATTCGTGAAAAAGTGCACCGCGTAGTGTTTTTTTTACAAGGGAACCTCAGGGGGGTATAGCGGCCCCCCTGGGATAGCGCAAATTCATATTTAGGATGGACATGTGGTCAGAATCATGTATGATTTACATATCCGAAACGGGGGGGCGATAACGCCGGGGGGGGTAGATCCTATTCTGTTTTTAGAAAGGAGAATCAATCACTTGCTCAATTCGAAGCTGTCCTCTCCACCGCTCGTGCAAACATCCCACCCTCCCACCCGCAACTTGTTCGCAAAACCTGTTCAGACCGTGACGGTGGGTACCAAATGGCACTTGGCAACGACACCGACGCCAACGACAGCGACAACGACGACGACGACGCCGCCGCCGACAACGACTACGACGACACCGACGACGTCTCCAACGACTTCGACGACGACAACAACGACGACGACGATGACAACACCGACGACGACGACGATGACGACGACGCCGACGTTGACGACGACGACGATGACAACGCCGACGACGACGACGCCTCCGCCGACGACGACGACGCCGACGACGACAACGACGACGACGACGACGGCGACGACGAAGACGACGACGACGACGACGTCGCCAACGAAGACGACGCGCGACGAGGGAGGACGGAGGACGACGACGGCCACGACGACAACGGCGAGGGATGAGGGAAAACGACGACGACGACGACGGCGACGAAATAGGAGGGACAACGACGAAACGCCGACGAAGACGACGAGGGAGGAAGGACGACCACGGCGACAACGACGACGGAAACGACGACGACGCCAAGACGACGGCGACGAGGAAAGACAGAGGACGACGACGGTGACGACGACGACGACGAGGGAGGAGGGAGGACGGCGACGACGCCGACGACGACGACGACGCAAGAGCGCGTGCGCGCACGCTTTTGTTGAAAATCCGTGTTGCGAAACCTTGTGTTTTTGTAGGTATTTTGGACACACGATTTTGAAATCCTTCCGGAACCGATGGTTTTTGAAGGATTTCGGCATGCGCGCGCGACGCCGCGTGCGTCTGCACTTCGTCCCGTTTTTTTTTTTGTTTTTTTTTTTTTTTGTTTTTTCTATTTCTTTTTATATCTATATATATATGTGTATTTATATATAGTTATATATATATAGTCTCGGGACGGCACGCGGGCAAGGGCGTTCGACAGATTTCGACACGCGCGCGCGCGAAGCCCCTTTTTTTGTTTTTCGCATTACTTGTAAAAAATATTGAAAGACCTATGGTTTTCCTGATATTTCGCAAGAGCGCACGCGTAAGCTTTTTTAGAACATCAGTGTTGCGAAACCATGTGTTTTTGCATGTTTTTGGAAACTCGTTTTTGAAATCCTTCCGAAACCGAAGGTTCTTGAAGGATTTAGGCATGCGCGCGCGACGACGCGCGCGTGTGCACTTCGTCCCGTTTTTTTGTTGCAAGGTTTTTTTTAAGTTCTGTTTTTTTCTAAACGAGAGTGCGCGCATAGTTTTTTTCCGAAGATGGCGGGGGGCAGTGCTACCGGCCTGGCTGGGATAGTATGAGTTCATATTTAGGATGGACGAGTGTGCAGAATACATATGAAATCGAATTACCACAGGGGGTACCGTTAATCCGGGGGGGTAGAGTCGTTTTTTTTTGGGGGGGAAAGAGAAGCCATGTGGCCCAGTCTATGTGGTGCAACATGTTGTTCAATATATGTTGTTACTATGCAGGGTGTGCAATATATGTTGTGCAACCTATGTTGTTCAGCATTCGTTGTGCACCATAGGTTGCGCAATCAATTTGGAACATTCTATGTGGTGCATTTGTTTTGTTTCAATCGAGTTGGCACATTTCACGCCTTGATAATATCCCACCCACCCGCCCGCAACTTGGTTTGCAAAATCCATGCGGCGGCAATTGCGATGAGTGCTTGGCGTTGGCTGGTGCATCTCAGCGGCCGCGCCAACCCACGCACGCCCGCGCAGCGGCCAGCTAGTTTGGCGCGACCGACGCGGCCGCGGTGGCGCTGACCGCTGGGCACATCGCAGCGGGCACTTCAGTGCGAGTCGGCGACTTAGGCGGGCGCGGTATCACGACAACGTCGGCAATGGTAGTCGCGATGCTGATCGTAGTGATGTTGGTGACGATGTTGACGAGGACGGTGCGGCCAGTGACGGCGCAGATGTTGATCGCGCCGACGACGATGACGGCGTTCTCGCGTCGGCGATGAAGGTTTTTGGAACGAGTTTGACATTCGCGCGTGTCCTTGATGTTATACGTATATTTCTATAGTCGGTCCTTCTCCTGTGTACACAATCCTAGATGTTTTAGGTAAGTTCCTATATATTGGGCCTCTCCTGGGGCACGAGCCCTTTGTGTTTTACGTGTGTTCCTATAGACTGCCCTTCTCCTGCGGCTCCAATCCGCAATGTTTTATGTACGTCTGTTGCTGTAGATTGTGCCCCTCCTGGGGCACGAAACCTCCCTGGAGGTCCCAGGAGGCCCCCAAATGCTCCTGGAGGCCCGAGGAAGCCCCAGTAGGTTCCAGGAGGCCCCAGGAGGCCCCAGGCTCATTCGCAGAGACGCGCTCGTACTACTGAGGCTTATTCACACTCCAATTCATTCGCAGTTAGATTCATTACCAGACCGTTACAACTGAAACCCGTTTATATTCGAAGGTTCTTGCGCCTAGACATTCACGGCGGACAGGCCCATGCGAATATATTACACATATGGGGAGCTCCACGCAGTGACTATTTTTATCTCCCTTACGTTTCTCGGGACACTCGATTTTGACATCCCTACGAAAACTGAGTTTTTCGATTCTTGATAACAGATCCCAGCATGCGCGCGCGACGGCGCGCGCGTGTGCAATTCGCCCAGTTGTTTGCAGTGGCTCCCTGACACACATTGATTTGTGATAGAAGAGTGCGCGCGCATGTTTGTTGTTGCTGAGGATGAAGGGGGTGGCGCTTTTGGCTTGGCTGACGTGGTATGAGTTCACATGTATGTTGGGCGATGGGGCAGAGTCGCATGTAAGATGCAATCGGACAAAGGGAACCGTTAATATCGGGGGGGTGGAGGGGTATATCCACTTTTTTAAGAAAAAAATTGGGGAACCTATTTGGTGCAATAAATTGCTGTGCGCAGTGAGTTGTCACCTCCTTGCTCGCGCAATCATCTTACCCACCCACCGGCCACGTGGTTTGCAAAACCCATGCGGCGGCAATTGCGATAAGTGCTTGGCGTTGGCTGGTGCATCTCTGCCGCCGCGCTAGCCCGCGCATGCTCGCCGCGAAGCTGGCAGCTAGCTTGGCGCGACCGGTGCGGCCGCGGTGGCGCTGACCGCTTGGCATTTCGCTTCGGGCACTACAGTGCGAGTCGCAGAGTTGGACGGGCCCGGTATCACAGCAACGTCGACAAAACGTAGGTACGATGATGGTAGTAGTGATGCTGGTGGCGATGCTGACATCGACGGCGGCAAGGCCACTGACGGCGCCGATCACGCCGACGACGATGACAGCCGCCTCGCGTCGGTGATGAAGGATTTGGAGGCAGTACGACATGCGCGCGCGGCCGATGCGCGAGAGTGCCACGCATAGTATTATTTGACACGGACCGTGCCCCCCCTAGCACGCGCGCAAGCGCGTTCGAATGATGTCGACATGCGGCGCGGCAGACCCGTTTGGCAGAATGTATTGAAAATGTTGAACAACCCATGGACTTCTCGCCGAGCGCAGACTTTTTTCTTGTTGCGAAGCCATGTGTTCCCATATGTTTTCGGGACGATCGGTTTTGAAATCCTTACGAAACTTCGGCATGTGCGCGCAACGACGCACAACTGATGTTTTTTTGTATACACGAGTTCGCACGCAGAGTTTTTTTGCAGAGAACGAAAGGGGACGATACCGGCCTGTTTGGGATTGTCGGAGTTCACATTTCGGATGGGCGACGGGGCCCAAGCATATGTTCATTGCAATACGCGAGTGGGCGTCGTTGGATGCGGGCGCCGATTTTCATATGTTTCCCTTGTATAAATACATGCACGCGCATGTTTATATTTAGATTTACATGTGTGAAAAAGATGATAGATTTCGTGGTGCAATATACGTGGTGTAAGCTTGGTGGTGCCGTCTACGTGGTGCCGTCTATGTGGTCCAATATGTGTGGTGCAATCTATGTGGTGCAATAGTTGATGTTTCGCGTCCCCCTGCCAACCCTTCCAAATACCGTCGAAGGTTTTCTTGAGGGAGGCCGCTTGGGGGGCTATCTTGAGCCATGTTCAACTAGAGGCACTCGGAGGTTATCATGAGCAATGCTCAGCTATCTGGACAGTCATATGGCTGTCTTGAGGTATCTTGGAGGTATGTCAGAAGCTATATGGAGTCATTCTCGACCTCCTGGGATCATCTTGGGGGTAGGAGGAGGATCAAAGGAGGAGGAGGAGCAAAACTATTGAAGGGGGAAGAGGAGGAGGCGGAGAAGGAGGAGGAGAAGGAGGAGGAGGAGGAGGCATAGGGCACGAGGAACAGGTGGAGGCAGAGGAGGAGGAGGAGGAGGAGGAGGAGGAGGAGGAGGAGGAGCAGGAGGAGGAGGGGGAAGGGAGGCGGCAGTAAAGGAGGAGGGAAGGAACGGACGATGACAACGAGGATGAGAAGTCGGGCTTTGGAGGCATGTTGTTGTGGGAGGAGAGGGGCTCTCTGAGGGCCCCTTGTCGGGCCTCTTGGGGCACTCTTGGGGCCCTCTTGGAGCTCATTTTGGGGCCCCTTGGGGCCCCCTTGGGGCTCCTTGGAGGGGTCTGGGAGGTCTCTTGGGCCACATGGTTCAAAAAAGGGGGGGGAACAAATTCAGGTCCCCCCTTCGGATTCTCAGAAAGTTCACCTCGGGGCGCTCTTGGAGCGCTATTGGGCGCACTCGGAGCCCTCTTGGGGCTCTCTTTGGCGCCTCTTGGGACTCTATTGGGCCATCTTCGGGCCATCTTGAGGCCTCGAGAGCCTATCGGAAGCGAAAATGTGATAAGGCAATTAACATTGATTTTCGTTTGGTATTTGAGGGAGGTGTGCCTCTTTATGTGGGGCTCTCGGAGGGCTCGGAGGGTACTTGCAACCGTCTGGGGCCCGTCTTGAGGCCTCTTGGATGTGTGTGTGTGTGTGTGTCGGAGGCTTTACCATCTTCAGGTATCTCGGAGGCCATCTTGGGCACTCCGAGGCCCTCTTGGAGCCGTCTCGGGACAGATTAGGCTCTCTAACTACCCGCGGCCCCACCCCCTCGGAGGGGTTTTGGCAGATAGAGAACACGAAATGCGTTAAACCACCTACGCCCACAGGGCTGGTGGGATTCCGGTATCGCTTGGGTCGCGACCGATTTGGAGTCGGTTGCTACTGATCGCGACCGAAAAAATCAGATATCCGATGATCTGGATTTGGCGGGGGCCCCCAAACGCGTCGTGACAAACCTCTCGACGGACGGTTTTGTTACCATTTCCGGCCCCTGGGCCCCGGCACCGTCAAGCACACCTCAGGGCGAAGAGCGAGCCCCGTGGAGGTGGTCGCGACCTCCGGGTGTCCACTTTTTCGAAACGATCACGACGCTGGGGGTCTGGGAACGGTGCGGTGACCATGCCGTATGGTGCGGCAGTGGGGATCCGGGGTGGCCGCGCAGTCCTGGGGCACCGGGCCGCTCTCCGGGGACGTCTTGGGCAGCAGGGGCCTCCAGGATGACAAGCCGCGCGGTGGGGTCTTTGGGGACTTCCAGGTCACTGCGCGCTCCTTTGCCGCACCGTGTCGGGGAAGCCCCAACGGCCTGCCAGCTCGCCGTGGAGCGAATGGCCCTCGGCGGAAACGGGTCTCACGTTTTGCGCATTTTTGTGCCCCGCTCCACGGGCTCCGGGATTGTATGCAAACGACTCATTGATGGGCCTGTCTTCCACCACCGCCACCATAGGTTGGAGGGGGAGGGAGTTCCTCCTCCTCCTCCTCCACCTCCTCCACCTCCTCCTCCTTCTCCTCGTCCTCCTCCTCCTCGTCCTCCTCCTCCTCCTCGTCCTCCTCCTCCTTCCCCCCTCCCTCCGTAGCCATTTTGGCTCAAGGTTTTGGTTTCCCTGCGGAAACAAGTGGATACCGCTAGTCCGCGGCTAGACCCCAGTTTCTTTCATCGCACCGCTGCGCGAGCCGCACTCTCTGTACTCTTTTCTGTTTGTTTCTCCACTCCTCGTCATCATGGCGCTCGATGCCGCGACGATGCGTCTCATCCTCGGTGAGAAGCTCGACCCAATGAACAAACGTATGGATGAGCTGTCCAACAAGTTGAACACCAACATCGCGAGCATCAAGAACATGGACGAGCGGCTGACGGCGAAGTTGAAGGAGCACACCGACTCCTTAGACGCATGCCGCACCGACATCACCACCCACTCGGATCGGATGGACGAGTTCGAGCTCCGCCTTTCCGCTCTCAGCCAGGGCGCGCAGGACGGCATGGAGGACGCAGCTGGCATCGCGGGGACCTACACTGCCGCCAGCCGCATCAACTCGCTTGAGGCCTCGTTCGCGGCGCTCGAGAAGTCGGTGAAGGACCAGGTGACGACTCTACAGTCCAGTACGGTCGGAACCTCGCGCGCGAGCTCCAGTGCCGGCGGCTCGCACGGCGCCTCAGGCGATGACCCGTGGCAGCGTTACATCCGCCAGCGCACTGGGCAAGCGCCGCCGCCTGGCAGCACGACGAACGAGGTGAACAAGTGCAAGGTCTGGATCCGCGGTTTCCCCAGGAAGCTGATGGCATCCGCCTTCTCCAACCATTTTAGCGTGGTGAAGACGTTGATGGACCAGGAGGCCCGCGACCACTGCCGCGCGCAGACCCAGAACTACAAGATGAGCTACAACATCACATTTGACACCGAGGAGTTGGCACGCAACTTTCACATGAAATGCAGGGCTGAGCGCATCCTGAAGTGGACGGATCCGCGCGACGCACAAGTACACGAACTGCGAGCAGGACTGGACCAGCCCCTTGATATCCGCCACAAGAGCTATGTCTTAGGACAGTGCTGGACGCTGGTGAACGAGGAGCTGCGCAAGTCTGCGTCCTTCAAGCCCTCGCTGAAGTTGGGCAGCAACCCACACACGGGCTACCTCCACATGCACGACACGGAGACCGAGGAGATCTACGACCTCGTTCGCTTGGTCTCCAATGCCGAGGCTGGCGGTACCACGAACACGTTCACTGTTTCGCCGCTCGCGGACATGGAGAAGTGGGGCATCCCGAAACAGTTCTGCGATGCTCTCCCCGAGCGTGTGGATGCGCTGGTGCGCCGCTCTGCCTGACGGTCTCCCCAGCAGGATTCGGACGTGCATGCAGTACGTCATGGCCTCGGCGGGCAGGGAAAGCGCCGCCGTCTCCTACATTTTCCAACGGCTCAGCTAGAGCACGTGGGCGCTGCTGAGATCGAGGTCTCGCCTTGCAGCTTTGTGTTCTCTGCTGTCTCTTCTCCCTCCGCCGCCCCTTTGCTGCATTTGCTTTCCTGTCCTCTCCATCCGCGGTGGTCTCACCCATTTTTGCTTTCCTCCGAATTCAGCCTCGCCACTTGGAACAGCGCAGCGCTGTTCGGCAGTATTCACGGTGATCATTCTCGCCAGTGCCGTAAATATGCTTTGTTCCGACGCCTTGTTGAGCAGTATACCGTAGTTCTCACGCAGGAGACGCATGGCACGACAGCCGACCTCGCTTCTCTCGATCGCGAATTCCCGTCTTTTTTCCATTGTGGCTCGTTTTGCTATGATCCTAATTCGGGGGGTGTAACTATATCTATTGCCAGGGAGTTTTTAACTAGGTTCCAGGCTGCCCGAATCCATGAAATTGCTCCGGGACGCGGTGTCGTTCTCCATCTTGCGGGCAATGCGGGGTGCCTCACCATATCGAGTGTGCATGTGGATCCGAAGCTGTCCACGACGCCAGCGCGAGAATTTCTGGGTCGAGTGCGCCGTGCTTTACCTCCTGTCGCTGCTTCTCTCTGCGTTGTCGGAGGGGATTGGAACTTCCGGGAGGTCGACGAGGTACGGCAGCCCTTGGACGGCAGCGCCCCGGCGATGCTTGACGATTCTCCTCTCCTGGTTCATTTCTCACATTTGGTTGGCGAGTATGTTGAAATTCCTCAGCCTGATTTTACTCACCGAACGCGTATCGGAGACGTTGTGCACAGCGTTGCTCGCCTGGATCGTGTGTATTGGAACGTGCCGACAGGCGAAGCTCTCGATTGGCATGCGCGTTCTGGCACCATTGGGGTTGCTCATGATCTTTCGACTCCCTCCGACCACGTGCCAGTATACGTGCAGCTCTCGTCAGGTGGTGTGCGAGCTCCGTCTTTACCGCGATGGGTCACGGAGCATCCCGAGTTCGGGACTATCACGGATGCTATTTTGATGGAGGTTGGCCTCCCCGCTGACCCCCTCGAAGCCCTCCGCGATGTCAAGGGTGCGATGTACGCTGCGAAGGACGCCCTCACTCGTCGCATGTTCTTGTGCGGTGCTCGCACGAGCAAGGAAGTCATCGCAGTTTGTCTTCGTCTCATGCGTATGCACAGGTGTGGGAAGCATAGTTTTACGCGTGCATGTTGCGATGCTGTCCCAGACCTCCGCCGGTTTTACGACGATGCACGGCATATTTTCGTTGATTATGTTGGATTTCACAATTTCTTAGCTGAGAAGAACTCCGATATGCTTATGGATGCGCTCTTGGAGATTAGCCCGCAGTCCGCATTGCCGAAGAAGTGCGCCTCTTTGCGTCGGCACGACGACCCAGCGTGCTCTCGACTGCATGCGTTGTTGAAGTCCTGGTCACCTAAGCGTCGCAAGCTTGCCACTTATAGCGTTGGGGACCCCACCACCAAACAGCCCATCAGCATCGAAGAGAGCGCTCGCAATCTGGCTGCATTCTGGGGGCCTGTCCACTCAGCCGATGATGCGTCCCAGGACCCTCTCTACGGCAGTGTCTGGCACGAACTCATGGCAGAGGTGCAGTCCGTGGCACCCGGTATTCTCTGGACGCTCTCGGAGGATGAGTTCTACGGCGTCCTAGGGAGTAAGTCGAAGGACACTGCTGCTGGACCCGACGGAGTCCCGCACAGTGGATGGCGCCTAGGAGGAGAGATTGCACGCAGGGCCCTCTACGGCGCTTACTGCGCTATGCTGGCTGGCTCCTCGTTGCCACGTGGATTCAACAATGGAATTGTTGTTTCCCCTCCTAAAATTGATGTGGATAGCGTTGGCCCTGAGTGCGTGCTTTCCCCCTCCCAGGCCTGGACCCTCACGTTGTCCAACACTGATAACAAGGTGCTGTCCGCGTGCTTAGCCGTACCTTTCATGAAGCAGGCGCAGTATTCTATTGTGTACACGCAGCGCGGATTCATCAAGGGGCGCAACATGCTGGACAACATCGTACAGCTTGAATCTTGGTTGTTGGAGTGGGCCTGCCACCGAGATATGAAGGATTCTGGGGTTATTCTTCTGGACCTGAAGGCTGCTTTCCCATCGATCTCACACCGTTGGATGATCGACTCGCTGAGGGGGATGGGCGTTCCGGCGTACATCGTTCGCGCCGTGCAGAATCTTTACTTGGACATTTACGTAGAGGTGCAGTTCGGTGGAGGACGGCACCCTGGTTACTGGATCACCCGCGGAGTCAAGCAAGGTTGTCCATTATCTGGATTGTTATTTTTGTTTTGCTTCGACCCCATCCTTCGAGGACTCCAGCGTCGCATCGATGTTCATCCGGGTCGCTCTCTTGCATTTGCTGACGACGTTGGCGTATGTTCAGGGAATTTGTTCGTCTCGGTGCCAGTCGTATTGTTATGGTTTTGTCAGACTGCAATCGTATCTGGCCTTGTCTTGAACCTTCAGAAGTGTTGCATTGTATTTGTGAGAGACATTGACACCCAGGACATCGTAAAAGCTTTCCGGAAACTGCACCTACGAGTTCGGAGCATGACAGTTTCACGTTGCGGTAAGTATTTGGGCGTGTATGTTGGGCCTGGAGGATTGGAGAAATCTTGGTCGGGCCCTCGTCGAAAGTTTCTCCAGAGGACCTCGCATGTAAGGAGCCTCCGGCTGAGCATGGCGCAGAATATACAGGCATATAATGTGTTTGCTTTCCCTGTGCTCTCTCATGTCAGCCAACTGTACCCCGTCCCCAAGAGTATCCACGACGCCGAGCACATCTGTTTGCAACGACTCACAGCGGGCCCTTATCATGCTGTACCTTCTAACCTTCTGCGGCAGATTGACTCTTTGGGTATTCGGGTGGCTCCCCGAGCCCTGTCTCCGAGCTGTCGTGCTGCCATGTTCCGCGCTGCGGCCAACAGTCGTGAGTTTGGTGACGCCCAGGCCCGTTTTCATCGCATACGGCATTATGATGTTGATGTTCTGGCAATCCCTCGTCATCGAGACTGGCTTGAATCGAGTATCACATGCAACATGATCCAAAATTACAACAGCATCGTCAGCATGAGCCCAGAGCTAGGCCAAGAGGAGATCCCCGACGTCCAGGCGAAGGTTACGACATGTCTTGCTCGACTTCTGAACCTCCCCAGCGCTGCCAGTCTCCTGCTTCCTAGGATTCGTTATTTTCTCCCTGGGGCCCCCATGCCTGTTGCCGAACGTATAATTTTAAATATGAAACTCGCCTCCCAGAAGTTCGGGCCATTCGTTTGCACTGCCATCCTTAAGTCTGTGTGCAATGGATGGCCGACCACACGCAGGTACAGGATGTGCACACGACCGTGCAGGTTTGGCTGCGGCGTGGAGGCGGGAGACAGGATCGATCATTATTTTAGTTGCCCCCTCGTTGTCTCCCTCTTGTGTCGTCTGTTCCGTCCCCTTCCCCGTTGCTATCCTCAATGGGATTTCTCGCGACGCATTTTTGTACATGATCTTAGCTCTCTAACGATGGAGGGGCTGCACGCTTGTCTCCTGATGCATGATATCCTTCTCTCTGTTTACAACACACTCCGGATACAGGATCGCCAAGGCCCCGACGGAGTCGAGAGCATGATCCGAGCTCGCGCCAGAGCGATCGCAAGACGGTCGGCTCGTGCTCGTGCGACGCTCTCCGGCTAGCTTGTGGGCGATGTGTGATTCCTTGAGTGCTTGGTTATAGCCCCCTTGAGGGGAAGCGGACATTGGCCCCCGGACGGGCTCCCTTGAGGCGGTGCGCTCCTCCTTCCCCCCTCCAACTTGTGGTGGTGGTGGTGGAAAACAGGCCCATCACAGACGACTCATGGCGAAGAGCTGGTCTCGGGGGAAGGCCCCGCGGTCCAGGTCCCGTTTCTCCCTCGGGACCCGCCTGCTTCCCGCCACAAGGGGGGGCGCGAGGCTGGGCCAGCCTTGATGGGGCTGTTTCCCCCCCACCACCGTAAGCTGAAGGGGGGAGGGGGTCCTCCTCCCCCTCTTCTTCTTCTTCCTCCTCCTCATCCTCCACCTCCTTCCCCCCTCCAGTTTATGGTGGTGGTGGTGGTGGGAAACAGGCCCATCAAGCCTTTGAGAGAAGACGGGGCGAGTTTCTGAGGAGGCCTCTGGCAGGGGGCATGGGGCTTCTTGGGGTAGTCGTCCGGCGATGAGCTTCCCATATTTCCGAACGATGGGAGACCCAGCATGCGACGCTCGGAAAATAGGCATTCAGCGAGGGTCCCTTGGTTTCCCATACCCAGATCATCAAATTCTGTTTTCGGTCTCGATCGGAAGCGACCGATCGGCACTCCAAATCGGTCGCGACCGATACCGGGAAAAGAGAAGCAGAATCGTTAGCGACCGACCTCGTCGGTCGCTACCAGAAAATCTGGCAGCCAGCGATCTGGGAACGGGAGCCTCCCTGCCTTTTGAGAGGGATCCTGCTCTCCAGGAGGCCCCCCAGCCTTCTTAGTAGGGGCCGCTCCCTTCGCGGCGGCCAGCTCCAGACCTCCAGAGACTCGAACGATTCGAGTTTGACCCTCTGACTTCCAGAACTTTCAATGTGAAGAAAGCATTGAATTTCTGAGCAACCTATAAATTCTAGTTATTCTTTGAACATTCGACGTGCCGTAAATAACATGAGTTGATGTGCAGATCCCGTTTTCCCATAAACAAGCAAGCAAGTAGAGTCCAGGCCTCGGAAAGTAGCGGACACTCATGCTATAGTCATCGGTCAACGCCTCCCCCTCCCCCCAATGTTCAAGGTTGGAGGGGGGTCTGATGAGTTGCACTTCGACCGCAGTCTTCTCCGCGCGTGCCAACTGTGAGTTTGGGGGAGAGGGGGAGTGTCCACGAATCATTTCCCTCTACCGTCTGTCCCTCTCCCCATGCGAACAAAAACGTGATGTTTGCTTCTTGGGCGCTTTCGGCCCTTGCGGGGTGGCTTCTAGGTCCGGGGACCGTGTAGGCACGACTCGGCTTGACAAGCTGGCTCTGGGGAAGGGGTCGACACCCCCGACCGCCCGGGGTCGGGCGTGGCTAGGACAAGGATAGTCCGTTCCAGAGCGTTCCAGAACGCTCTCAGAGCGTTCCTGAAAGCTCTGAGAAGGCCGCGGCGCCCGAGACATCCTCCAGAGCCGCGGGATCTCAGTGATTCTCGATTTCTCCTCACCCGATGTTCTCATCGTCCTTGCTCCGTCTGAAAACCGGGCGGCCTCGGCCTCACAAAACACTCGAGGGTCGAGGGTCGCGGTGCCAGGATCTTGGATGTTTCCGCTCCTTGGGCCTTCTGGGAGACAGCCCGTCACCACGAGTGGGTTCCCTTTGACACACGGCTCTCCAGGACAGGTCTGGGATAGGTGTTTCACCCCCCAACCCGAGACTTCCAGAGATTCTAACGTTCGAGTCTGCCCCCGGTCCAGCGCGCTTTGGGAAAGCCTCTCTGCATGTACCAGAAGTCTCTCCCCCCGCCCTCCCCTGTTCACGCTCGTTTTTGTTTCTTTGCCGCCCACGCGTGTGTCATTTCATGCTTAGCTGCCCCGCAACTTCTCCACTTCCACTACTGCACCATGGTATAATTCATGTGCTGCCCTGCTATCTCCTTCTCCTCATGGGATGGTCCAGAATTCGGGCCGCGCGGGTCCCCAGTGCGACATCGTGGAGGCGCCGCTGGGGGGGGGGGCGGCCAGGGGACCACCCCAGCCAGGGCAAGCCCTGTCCTCCCACTCCCGCCCTCGCCCTCCTCGATCTCCTCAGGACTGGTCTGGCCGGGATCGGAGCAGGCGGGTCGTTTTTGCGTCCCCGGGTCGGCCCTCTGCTCCGGCCTCCCCCGAGGACTTGACCCGCTGCGGTTCCGGCTCGGCTTCTGCGAGCAGGACCCCGAGGGAAGGAGGAGGAGGAGGAGGAGGAGGAGGAGGAGGAGGAGGAGGAGGAGCCTGCGGCGCCCCCGGGGGAAGGGGGGGGGGCGCGGAGCCTCCCTTGGGGGCGGCGGGGGGGGTGGGGCGCCCTGCCCAGGGGCCCGGTCTGGCCCGCAGTCACCTGCGAGCCTTTGGCCCCCGATGGAGCTCACTCGCTCGACTGCTGAACCCCCGCCAGTGTTTCGGGCCTGTCTCTCTACAGGAGGAATACCTAAAAATAGTCAGAAACTAGTCTGGGGACGATTAGTTGATTGCTTCTTTTTGGAGTCTTTTTGGAGTGCTTTCGATTTTTCATCCCAAATCCGCCTGTAGAGGGGGACATGCCCGACCTGACGCCAATGTTTCTGTAATCTGACCTGCTAGGGGTACGGCAGGCTCGCGTCGCGTCGACGTGCCACCCACGGCCCCGCCGCCGGCGTTCAGCGTTGAACGACGCCGGCGATCCATAATCGGTCGATGTTAAACGATTCGACGTTTCGAAAATGTCAGGCGATCGCAAACATGGATAAAGGGGGCGTGGATTAGCGACGGGTCCCAATTCCATATGGAATCGCTGATTGCCGCCGCCGAGCGAGGCGCCACCTGCCACGATTTGGGGAGGGCACCTCCCCCGATCCATGGATTTGGCGGCCGCGCGCCAAATCCATGGATTGCTAATCCATGTTTGCGCGCCCCCGAGAATGGTCGACCCCTCAACCCATACCCCCAACGTCATGTCTTTTCTCGGCCCATTCCTCAGGACCAGCTTTTCGTCATGAGTCGGTTTTGCCGAAACACGTCCCGTCATGCTTTGTCATGACCCGAGGGGGTCTGGGAAGAATAAATGATCCACGTGGTGTCAGAAACCAATTTCGAGGTCGTCACGATACGAGCTTGCCATACGTTCTCATGCGGGGTGCTCTGGGGCGCCAGGACCCGGCAGCAGGCCAGCCGCAAACTCAAAAGGCTGTGGTGGACTTTTACTCTCCTTGGGGACTCTTCGGCTGCGGCACCCCTCGTGATGAGGTGTTCAAGAAAGGGCCTCGCCTGAGAGGATCGCAGGTGTGAGTATCTCTTCCTCGGCAGAAGGCGGCGGAAGCAAAACGAGGCCGCTTTCGCTGGCGGAAGCCGGCAGAAGCTCGGCGGAAGGAGGCGAAATAAAACATCCGATTCCCATGATATGGCTGAGTTGTTAGGTTCAGGGCTTTCTGAACTCTCGAGATGTCGTCGACACGATGGGATTTCCCAGGTAGAGTAAATATCACAGCTCCCCCCACTTGTGGCTGTCCCTCGAGGTGGCGCAGACAATGTTGTGGTTTGCAGCCACAACGCTCACATATGCGTGTCGGAGTGTTGAATTTGGTCTGGGTTCCAGATCTCAAACGAAGATGGAAGTCCTTTGCCAGCACCGCTTGTCTTCCTCACTGCATTTGGTGCACCATGGATTTGGCAGTACTGTTGGGCCCTAATCCGATGGAGCAGAACCCCTTCACTTCGAAAGAGGACACCAGCGGCAGCCATCTGGCTATGCTGAACGTGTCAACCCCAGGCCAACACCTCACTCCGTTCTATGTTTTCAGGAATCGCACTATACAGATCCGTGCGTATGTGCACAGGCGTTCTCTGTGACGCCAAGGCATGCAGACGGAGGTAGCTATTGACGTGTGCAAGATCAGAGGCTCGCGGAAACCCAAACGCAGATTTTCGCTTCAGTTTCATCCTCTTGGGAGATCTCTTGTTAAACACAGAGCCAGCACACGCACATACTGACGCACGCAATAACTGGAGACATTGTCAGACGGAGAGAAACAGGCGTACATGTATACGCAGAGAGAGAGAGGGAGACAGAGAGAGAGAAAGGGGTAGAGAGGTAGAGGGAAAGAGACAGGGAGGGAGGGAAGGATGAGGGAGAGCGGTACAGAGAGAGAGAGAAAGATAGATATTGCTAGCTTAGATACAGAGAGAGAAGGAGAGAGAAAGAGCGAGATAGAGAGAGAGAGAGAGTGAGGATCTCCTACGTATGCATACGTGTATATATTCAGTCAGAGGGAGGGACATACATACATACGCATTCATGTATGTATGTAAATATAGACACATGCAAGATTTCATTCGCGCGCTTCGCGCGCCGTTGAATCGGAGAGAGGGGGAGAGAGGCATAGCGAGAATACCTATAGGCGCACATGTAAATACAATATGATACACATAAGTATTGATGTACTCGTTTAGTTCTATGTACTCACACTTATAGGTGGAAGGATGGTGAGCGAAAGGGCTCCGATATTTCGGTGACGTGCTCTGTATGCCATAGATCGATGCGTATGTTCGTAATGTACTTACTGTGTGCTGATGGAGAGTACAGATGCAGTCATGTACACACGTGTATCTACCGGCGTCCGTGTCCAGCAAGGGCCGTAGGGCGTCTGAGTTGTAGCACACTGGTCCTCGTTGTCAGACTGCGTAAAATCGGCCGTGCCGAGCCGTACCGTACCGTGCCGTGCCCGCACTCCGTTTCCCGGCCGTGCCGTGCCGTGCAGTGTGGCATTCCACTGCTAGGCTGCAGAAGTGTGCCACCCGCGTGCCGTGCCGTGCCGTGCCCGCGTGCCGTGCCATGCCGTACCTGTGCTTGAAGTGTGGCAGGTTGTAGTGCCGTGTCGTGCCCGCTTGCCGTGTCGTGCCGTGCGTGTCAGAGTGCGCAGCACTTGCCGTGTCGCGTCGTGCTTTTCAGAGGGCAACATGGCTGCCGTACCGTGCTGTGCCGTGCCTGGTTTGGATGCGAAACAGAAACAGATGCCGTTCGTGCCGTGCAGCACCTGTGTTTTCAGAGTTCGTAAAGTTGCTTCCGTGCCGTGCCGTGCCTGGTGTTCAGAATGCGAAAAGATTGCTGTGCCGTGCCGTGCCTTCTTTGCAGAATGCATACAAGTTGCCGTGCCGTGCCGTGTCGTGCTTGGGTTTCCGAGTGCGAACCAGTTGTCGTGTCGTTCCGTGCCGTGTAGTGCCTGGTTTTCAGACTGCAGAGAATTCGGTGCCTTGACGTGCCGTGCTGCGAAACAATTGCTGGGCCGCGCCGTACCAGCATGCTAAGCAAGTTGTTATGTCGTGCCATGCCGTGCTTGGTTTTCAGCATGCGATCAAGTTGCCGTCACGTTCTGTGCTGGGTTCAGGATGCGACAAATCCAGTGGAGTTTCAGAATGCAAGAACGTCGCCGTGCCATGTCGTGCCGACCATGGGTCTTGTCATTCAGCGTTGGTACTTGGTTTGCTAAGCTGGCGCTCTTACATGCATGTGCTCGTGTACATACATATGTGCATAACTACATGTGCAGATGGAGGTAGGAAGGGTGCAGGGAGGGTAGAAGAGGAGGAGAGCGACATGGAGCGCTGCAGGAGTTTAGGGGTGCTGTGGCGGGTAGTGATGTCGCCGAGGGACAGAGATAGGGAGAGCGGGGAGGGGGGGAAGGACAGAGAGAGAGAGAGGGGGAGGGAGAGAGAAACAGAGAGAGAGAGAGAGGACAACAACAGAGAAAGAGAGTGAGAGAGAGGGAGGGAGAGAGGTACCCACATGTTTTTCACCACGGGCTTATCAGGGGCACCGCCGAGCCTTAGGACCTCGGAGCGGGGGACTTCCCGCAGCGACCTTCATCGCTAGTGCCTGAGCCCAGCTACTAGCATTGACGAAACTGCAATACTACACACTATGACAACGATGTGCGCTGCAAGCATGTCGAGAAACCTGACAAGCACTAAAAGACAAATAATTGCACCTGTGAGCAGGATCTGTATCGTGTTCGACACAAGGCTGTGCAAGCTAGGTTCGATATGGAAGCACAGATCAAAATAACGGAATGGGACAAAGGTGGGGCGAACTTGCAAATCAGAGACAGAGGGAGGGATGGGGAGGGATGGAGAGAGGGAGGCCCCTCAGATCATCAAGGCGTCTGTACCCGGTGATGGCCAGCGCCAGCAGGTTGTGCACAGAGCAGTTGCCAGCAGTGATTCTGATTCGTCTTTCCCGCCACGGTGTGGCGAGTCGCAAAAGCACGACGTACATATCTGCTGAGACACGAGTTCTTGTGAGAGAAAGACAAGCCAGAACATCCATGCAGCAATACGCTGCATTGATATCATGACTGCGTTAGCGTGTGCCCCAACGCTCAGAGCACACGGACGGAGGCCGCCTGCCCGCGCGCCATGACGTTGAAGCACAAGTGAAGGTAGATCCTGGTGGATGCTAGTCACCGCGAGCGAACGCCAGCAGCTGCGCCAACATCTTCGGCTTCGTGTTCTGCTTTGGGGCTGTATCTCCGATGTTCTTCTCGCTTGCCTTGCGCAGCTCGTCAACCTTGCCATTGTCGAGCACTGCCTTTTCCGACTTCTTCTCGTCCTCGTACACCTTCTTGTCTAGCTTGATGCCCAGCGCTTTGCAGGTCTCCTGCCGGGCCTGCAAGTCGACCTTGGCTTTGTCCTCGCCTGCCGTCTCCTCGTCAGGTCCCAGCAGGGTGCGACCCCTCGGAGCCCGACGGCAGAAGGGTCTGACCGGTCACCGCGGCGATCCTCTTCCAGGCGTTCCTCGGGCCTGGCAGGAGATGGCTCTGGGGCACGGTTTTCGGACTCCCGGCGGGAGCGCGAGATGCCATGATCGTGATTTTTTTAATTGCTTTGGCCATCATGGGCATTATAGCCCGCGGCCCCCCTCCCCCTTTAACGTAACGCCCCTCCCCCCCAGTGCGCTCTGGGCACTGCCGCCGTGAGCATCGGGATCCGCATCGGCGTCTGCATAGGAATTCGCATAGAAGCGTGCTCCGCATTGGAAATCTCATGGGGATCCGCACAGGGATCCGCGTAAGGAGCCGCATAGGGATTGGCATAGGGATTCACATGGCACTGCGCATGGGCATTCGCATAGGCATCCGCATGGGGATCCACATCGGGATCCGCATAAACATCCGCATAGGGATCCGCGCATGAATCCGCATAGGGATCCGCCTTAGGATCCGCATAGGGATTCGCATAGAGACCCGCACTGGGATCCGCATAGGGATCCGAAATTGTGGTTTTGTGTTCCCGGTAAACGCTCTTTCTCTTCCTTCTGCTCCTCCCTATCCTCCTCCTTCTCCTTCTCCTCCCCCTCGGAGGAGGAAGAAGAGGAGGTGGAGGTGGCGGAGGAGGGAGACGAGAAGAACGTCGCGTTCTATTATCAGCATTTCCCTGGCGTGGCGTTTAGTTGTCCGCAGCAGATCCTCACCTACATGCTCGTCCTACTTGTCCTGTGCACGTAGGCACTGTGGTGTACACCAGCGCTGCGTGCACGCGGATGCTGTGGTGTAGACAGGCGCTGTGGTGTGCATAGGCGCTGCGGTGCACGCAAGCATTGTGGTGTACACAGGCGCTGTGTTGTACATGGTTGCTGCTGTGTTACACATTCGCTGTGGTGTACACTGGCGCTGTGGTGTACGCAAGCACTGTGGTGTAATTACACAGGCGCTGCGTCGCACACGGCTGTTGCGTTGTACGCAGGCGCTGTGGTGTACACGCGCGCTGTGGTGCACGCGAGCATTGTGGTGTACACAGGCGCTGTGGGGCAGGTCGCCACCTACATGCTGCTCGCGTCGTCGTCGTCGTCGTCGCTCGTCGCTCGTCGCTCATCGTCGTCGTGCGCGCGGGCGCGGCTGTGATGCCGGAGCCACACGGCGGGGGGGGGGCGTTACAGTACATGCCCCCCCTGGTCCCCCCCTATAATGCCCATTATCGCCAAAAATAAGAAAATGCGCTCCATGTAAGGCCTCTGTAAAGAAGTTGAGAGAGAGAGAGAGAGAGAGAGAGACAGACAGACAGACAGACAGACAGACAGACAGACAGACAGACAGACAGACAGACAGAGACAGAGACAGAGCTTCTCGCGCTGCGAGGACGAGCTTCCTCAGCTTCTGGCCTTCGCGCGCTTCTGGCACGCCGAGGGCGACGAGGCGGCCATGCGCGAGGCGGGGAGCGGCGTGTACGTGCCCGCGCCACCCGCGCCGCCGCCCCCGAAGCCTCCACGGCGCGCCAGCCGTGTGATGCCTCGGAGGAGGAGGGGGAGCGGGAGAATGAGGAGGGAGAGGAGGAGGAGGAGGAGGAGGAGGAGGAAGCAGAAGAAGAGAGTGGCTCAGATGCCATCGCCTGAGAGTGCCTCAGGCCTCCTTCTTCCAAGGCGGGGACTTGGTAAGGCTTCGGGTTGCGCACAGACAGCCCCCCCAGCCAGGTAGTTCACCCTGCTGACCTCAGCAAGCTTCCCGAGTAGTCCCAGCTGGCCTCAACAGGCTCTCCTAGTAGTCTTGGCGGTTTCAACAGCCTGGCGCCGCCTTTGGCGCCGCCCCTTGGGCGCTCCGCGCCCCAGGGTTGGGGTGTTGAGACCGCCACGGGCTACTCGGGGAGCCAATTGAGGCCAGCTGGGACTACTCGCTGCCCTATCGAAGCCAGCAGGAACTACTACCTGGCTGGGGGGGCTGTCTGCGCGCAGCCCGAAGCCTTCGGGGGATAGCAATGCTGCTGCGCGCCAGCAGGGTGGGCACCGGCAGCTGTCCGACCTCATCCGCGAGGGGCAAGTTTGGCTGATGCAGCAATTTTTGACACCACCAGGAAAGAAGACATTGAAACACGGAGGCATCATGACACCAGAAACGGCGCACTACGGGCGCAGAGTGGGGCGCCCGCGGCAAAATTGGACCGAACAAGCTCTGGACTTGGCAAGAGCAGGGCCGTCATGTAGAGATGTCTCGGCGCGAGTCACCAGGTGAGCCGAGCTCTTCGCAGTCACTTGGGCTCAGGTCTCCCCCCCCTCCTTCCTTTTCCTCCTCCCCCTCTTCCTCTTCTGCTTGTGAAGAAGAGGCAAGACTTTCTTTGCCCTGCGCTGTTTCGCAGGTTAACTTCCAGTTTCAGAGCACGCTTGAGGACCATAAGTGGTCAATGCGCCGCCTGGCGCGTGAGGAGTGAGTATGCTTTTCGGGGATCGGTGTTGCACGTTATCTCGGCGACGCCAACCGTAATGACATAACGTCCACTTCCGGAGGTCCGTGCGGATTTTTCGGATCGGCGCTGAGCCCCTCTGGCGGCGCCTCCTCCGCCGCCCCACGGCGCGCTCCGCGCGCCAGGGGGAGATCCATCCTCGATGACGCATGGTCTCCTTATCGGTCCCACATCTTGCACGCAGGTCGGCGGACAGCACCACGCCTTTGTGCGCAGCTGCCTCGGTACTTCGTTCCCGTGGCCAGGAAGCTCCCGCTGCAATGGTGATGAATACCTCTGCTGAGCGATGGCCGTGAGGCCTAGACATCGATTGACACTGTGGCGCGCAAAGTGGTTCCATGTCCATTCCGTCAGCCATGCCTTTGCCGCAGAAGTGCGCCGAGGCCTCCAGCCAGAGGCGGCTCGAGATTGAATTTTGAATCTCACGAATCAAACCAGCTGGACTGTCTACGCCGGGCCAGCATGTCCATGTTTCATCTCAAAGCCACGTGATCGTCCTCTGCAGGCGCTGGAAACGACCAAGAAAGGGCAGTCTCTGGATCCCAACCCTTAACCAGCAAACTATTGGTAATTGCGGTCATGGGTCTTCGAATACTGGTGATGATGATGATGATGATGATGATGATGATGATGATGATGATGATGATGCTGATGATGATGCTGATGATGATGCTGATGCTGATGCTGATGCTGATGCTGATGCTGATGCTGCTGATGATGATGATGATGCTGATGATGATGAGGAGGATGATGATGATGCTGATGAGGATGATGATTATGGGGCTGGGGATGCTGCTGATGTTGATGGCGATGACGATGATGCAGTTGATGATGATTATGCTGCTGTAGATGATGATAATGATGGTGATGATGCTGATGTTGATGATGGTGATGATGACGATGATGATGACGATGATGATGATGATGATGATGATGATGATGATGATGCTGATGGTGATGCTGATGATGCTGCTGATGATGATGATGACGATGATGATGATGATGATGATGCTGATGATGATGATGATGATGATGATGATGATGATGATGGTGATGATGATGATGAGGATGATGATTTTTGATGATGATGACGAGGAGGAGGAGGACGAGGAGTGGGAGGAGGAGAGGGAGCAGGAGGAGGAGGAGGAGGAGGAGGAGGAGGAGGTTGAGGAGGGGGAGGAGGAGGAGGAGGAGGAGGAGGAGGAGGAGGAGGAGGAGCAGGAGGAGGAGGAGGAGGAGAAGGAGTGTTGGAAGGTAGCGTTAAGACTGGGTGAGCAGGATGTGCTAGAGCGACGGTCAGACGGATGTCGTTGCAGATGCCGTTTGACTCAAGTGAAAAGCCAGTGTGCGCGCTGAGTTCCACCGTCAAACAAGCATCCTCGATTCGTTCTCGTGGAATTCCTCTCCAGGACGATGCAAGGCGGACGCGGGGGCGGGGGAGGTAGGTTCCACGTTCTGGAAACCAGAGCAGGAGGAGGAGCAGGAGGAAGAGCAGAGCGGTGCGCACGGGGCGTAGCCCGCAGCCGCCGGCTCAGGCCTGCCGACGGCCGCCGCCCTGCCCCCCTCTGAGCGACGGAAGAAAACGGGGTCGACCGCGCGGACATTGGTGCGCAAGCTGCCCGCGCACGGTCCCGCGCAATCCAGACCCCCGCAGGTCGGCAGCGTGCAGAACTCTTGGCGGGAGGATTTTCGCCATGTTCGGCCTCCGGGGGCCCTTGCCGGGCTCCAGGACCACCAGAAAGCAACTCAGGATGAGACGCTGGTCCCAGGGACTGGGTCAAGGGTGGTGGACGCATGTGACAAAAGCCGTGACGCCCGTGGTCCGGAATTGCGCCCTCTCCTCCGCGCGGTGTGCCACGCTGGCGGCCCGCGCAGGCCGCGGCGTGACGCTGCCGTGCCGTCTCGCGTGGAGGCCCGTTTTTCTTGGCGTCGCCCCTCTGGCAGGGCCCGGGCCGCCGCGCAGCCTCGCCGTCGCGGCAGCGGCCGCCGCAGCGGGGGCCGTGCGCGGCCCTCTTCGGCAGCGCGCACGGGGGTGCTGCGCGGGGGGGGGGTCTCCTATAAATCAAGGGCGTAAAAAGCGCCCCGACTCTGGTTCATGAGGCGCTGTGCGCTGAACCTCCTGTGGGCTGACAGGGCAAACCCTGCGTATCGCGCGTGCCGCGCGGCGTCCTGGCGGCTCTCTGGCCTGTGGGAGCTCCCAGGAGGTTTACTCACCACGCACTTGTAACCCAGGGTAGGGGCGTTTTTTCACTCCCCAAATGAGCACCCATAGGCCCCTCCGCGCCGTGAGAGCATCGCGACCGACACACTTTTGTTTCGCTCCTGGCTCTGGGGGCTTCTTGCCGGGCTTCTTGGCCGTCAGAATACGGTCGGGGAAGAAAGGACGGTTCCGAGAAAGGGGTCGGGGCTTCTCCGATTCTAGATCTACGAGGTATAGGTGTAAGTCAAGCAACCGAAAGGTATCACTGCGACCGTTCGGTTTTAATTGCGCAGCCGTTTTTTTGGAAATCATATCTGTTACAGGCATATGTCGGAGATTTGGTATCCTTAACTTCGTGGGCGCCTATGTGTGTGTGTGTGTGTGTGTGTGAATGTGTGTGTAGACATCGATCACGTCATGACGTCGGGGGTCTGGGTCCTGAGAGGGCGTTGGGCCTCTTGGAAGGCAGGGGCCCTCCGAAGAAGGGCCCTCCGGAGGCTTCTCAGGAGGGCCTTCTTGCAGGCCTCTGGGCCCCTCTGGCGAGGCCTGTGCCCTCTCAGAGGCCCCCTGGCCTTCCCAGACCTCCGCGCTCTTTATTTCTTTTCAATAATGTGGGCCCCCAGTGCTCTGAACCTTTTCTGGGGACCGGCTTCTCATCCAGAGCCGTCCCCGAGGCTTGGGAAGAGCCCCCCGAGGATGAAAATGGCAAGAGGCCTCTTGTCGCGATTCCTCCTCCTCCCCCTCCCCCCTCCCCCTCCCCCTCCTCCCCCTCCTCCCCCTCCTCCCCCTCCTCCTCCCCCTCCCGCCGCGACTCTGTCGCGATTTCTTCACGACGTCAGGGCGTCCGCTGGGAGGTCGCCCCCTCGCGCCGCACCCGGCCGCGCGGCGCCGCCCGGCCGTGCGGCGGGGGCGGCGCGCGGCCGCCCGCGCGCCCATGAGGGCGCCGGCGCCGCTGAGGCCGGGCAGCGGCCCGGGCTACCTGCCGGTGGCGAGCCGCGCGCCGGAGGAGGTGCCGGGGGCCACGTTGGGGGGGAGCCAGGCCTGGCAGACAGGGTCTGAGTATGGACCGGGGTCGGAGGATCGCGACGCAGCGCGGACGCATCGGCGGCGCAGCGCGTATATCAGGCGATCGCAAACATGGATCAAGGTGGCGTGGATTAGCGACGGGTCCCGCTTCCATCTGGAATCGCTGATTGCCGTCGCCGGACGAGGCGGCACCAGCCGCACTTTGGGGAGGGCCGCGCGCCGGAGGAGGTCCCGGGGGCCACGTTGGGGGGGTCCAGGCCTCCCAGATAGGGTCGGGGGTGGACAGACCTACTACCCTGTGACACGTCGATGAGCGAATTGGCCGTTTTCGGTTCGCGAGGGGGCGTCGCGGCCCTCATGTTTGCGGGTCCAGGTCCGTCGGTTTCGGTCCCAGGCCGTTTTCACGAAAGGGTGGTTTCCTAAAGGGAGGTTTGCCCACCGCCGATAGGGTCTGAGCATAGACCGGGGTCGGAGGATCGCGCCGCCGCAGCGCGCGGATGCATCGGCGGCGCGGCTCGATGTAGAGCCCGATTTCTTCTTCGCGCCGACGTGGCCGATGAATCACCGACGCCGCCGATGCATCGGCGCAGTGGCGATGCATCGGCAATGCGGCGCCATCCTCCGACCCCACTTTACTCCGACCATCTCCGACCGCATCTACTCTGGGGCAGCGTTCCCTGACTCTCCACCTTCCACCTTCCCGGAGGGTTCCAAAGAGGGCTTTGGGGGAGGGGGTTTTCCAGGGAGCCC